AGAATCGTACCGGCTGATCCCAGTCACTTGGACCCCATTTAAGAACAGGGTTATGACACTGCACTCACACACACACACACACACATGGAACGCGCTTTTTTTTTTTTTTACTTCCTTTTTTTAATTGATTGATTGATTGATTGATTGGTGGGCTATGTGTCCCCTGCTATCACGGCCAGGGGTCAGGATCTCGACCTCGGCTGCGGACCGCCGCGGTTGGGATTTTTCCAGGCTGAATAAATTGAAAAAAAAAAAAAGGGCATGGCTACATTCGGGACGTCCAAAATCTGACCTGGACGGTCCGGATCTGTCGTATTAAAAAAAAAGAAAAAAAAAACTCTTCAGGGCCCTTCCCCGCTGAGGAGCCAAGCCCCCAAGATTGTTTGGGGGTTTTCCGGGCCTGTTTTTGTTTTCTTGGGGGGTCCTGACATGGTCTATCTCTACTAGCTAAGCGCCCGCGGTGCGGGCAATACCCAAAAAAAAAGAAAAAAGAAAAAAAGAAAAAGAGTAAGGCTTAAACCAACTGCTAAGTTTCAGCACTATAAACGAATTCAAGAGACGGAACACGCATAGAGGGACAGAGAAAGGAAGAGAGAGAAAGAGAGAGAGAGAGAGAGGGAGAGAGGAGGGAGAGAGATAGAGAGACACAGATAGAGAGAGGCAGAGGAGAAAGAAAAGAAAAATGCGAAAAACAAGGAAAGAAGAACATCATTCAAGTCAGGAACAGCGTACAAAATCATGAAGGCACAATAACCATGAATTACAATCCATCTCCATTTTTCTAAAATAAAATAAAATAATATTTGTTTGCTCTCTCTCTCTCTCTCTCTCTCTGTGTCTCTCTCTGTTTCTCTCTCTCTCTGTGCATCTCTCTCTCTCTCTCTCTCTCTCTCTCTCTCTCTCTCTCTCTCTCTCTCTCTCTCTCTCTCTCTCTCTCTCTCTNAGAGAGGAATGATGACATGGGACGGGTAATTTCTCAGAGGATCACCTCTATGTGAGTCGTTTCGTCACACACCGATGGCCAGCACTTCCCAGCACCTGTCTCTTATACACATCTAGATGTGTATAAGAGACAGCTCTCTATCTATCTATCTCTCTCTCTCTCTCTCTCTCTCTCTCTCTCTCTCTCTCTCTCTCTCTCTCTCGGTATTTGGAGTGGCTCGTTCGATAGGTGCTTGGAGTGGCTCGTTTAGTAGGTGCTTAGAGTAGCTCCGTCGTTCGGTGCTTACAGTGCCTTGGTTGGTATCGGTGCTTGGAGTGGCTAGGTCGGTATAGCTGCTTAGAGTGGCTCATTCCGAAGGTGCTTGGAGCTCCGCAGTCGGTAGGTGCTTGGAGTGGCTCGGTCCGTAGGTATTTGCAGTGCTTCGATCGGTATATACGTGCTTGGAGTGACTCGGTTCATATAGGTGCTTGGAGTGGCTCAGTCGGTAGGTGCTTGAAGTGGCTGGGTCGGTAGGTGCTTGGAGTGGCTGGGTCAGTAGGTGTTTGAAGCGGTTCAGTGGGTAGGTGCTTGGAGGGGCTTGGTCAATAGGTGCTTGGAGTGCCTCGGTCGGTATATGTGCTTGGAGCGCCTCAGTCGGTATAGGTGCTTAGAGTGGCTCCGTCGGTATAGGTGTTTGGAGTACCTCAGTCGGTATAGGTGCTTGGAATGCCTCGGTCGGTATAGGTGCTAAGTGGCTCCGTCAATTAGGTGCTTGGAGTGGCCCTGTTGGTATACGTGCTTGGAGTGGCTCGATTGGTAGGAGCTTGGAGTGGCTCGCTGGAGAGGTGCGTGGAGTGGCTCGGTCGGTAGGTGCTTGGAACGGCTCGATCGGTAGGTGCTTGGAGTGGCTCGGTCAATAGGTGCTTGGAGTGGCTCGGTCAATAGGTGCTTGAAGTGGCTCGGTTGGTTGGTGCTTGGAATGACTTGGTCGGCAGGTGCTTGGACTGGCTCCGTGGGTTAGAGTCGTGCGGTCAATGGGTGCTTGGAGTGGCTCGGTTAGTAGGCGCTTGGAGTGACTCGATCGATACGTGCTTGAAGTGGCTCGGTCGGTAGTTGCTTGGAGTAGCTTGGTCGGTAGGTGTTTGGAGTGGGTCGGTGGGTAGGTGCTTGGAGTGGCTTGGTCAGTAGGTGCTTGGAGTGCCTCAGTCAGCATAGGTGCTTGGAGTGCCTCAGTCGGTATAGGTGTTTGGAGTGGCTCCGTCGGGGTAGGTGCTTGCAGTGCCTCAGCCAGTATAAGTGCTTGGAGTGCCACGGTCGGTTTAGGTGCTACGTCGCTCCGTCAATTAGGTGCATGGAGTGGCCCTGTCGGTATAGGTGCTTGAAGTGGCTAGATTTGTAGGAACTTGGGGTGGCTCGGTCGATAGGTGCTTGAAATGGCTCGGTCAGTAGGTGCTTGGAGTGGCTTGGTCGGTAGGTGCTTGGAGTCTCAGATGGTTCGCAGGAGTCGTTCCGCGGATAGTGGTAACACAAGGGGCGAGAGCACCGATGATATGAACGTACTGATTCGAGAATATTTCATGCAAATGGCGGTGGAGCACCGTGAGCGAGTGGAACGTGAGCGAGAGGAAGAATGCAGGAGAGTAGAAGAGGAAGCTCGTCGAGCAAAGGAGTCGAGGCGAGCTATGAGAGAGGAACAGCGTTTGAAGCAGGGAGAGGAGCAGGACATCAGACTGATGTGGATCCTGCGTAGTGAATTCATGAAAGACAGAGATATTGATCTCGAGCGAGACGAGTACAAAGGAAAGAAGCAGGCTAACGATTCTAAAACCAAACACTAAACATTCGTCATTACCAAGTGAAAGAAGAAACCGGTGCTCAGCATAAGCACAAAGAATACAGGCCAAGGAACAACTAGTCGATTTTCCCATAGGGACACAAACTATTTGTCTGAGAAGCCTGTCTTCCGACCAAATAACCGAAAAACTCAGATCAATGGTCACCATATCCTCCATTTCCTCCAGGGAAACCCGAATACAATCAGGCCGATGGGAGCCAAAGGACAAAGTAGCCCCTTTCCCTCACCGGGCAACATTCACTCCTCGATATCCCTTAAGCCGGAACCAAGTAACCAACCAGGATACGACATTACGGATATCATTTTGAGGAAGTGAAACAAACATGTCTTTCACATCAAAAGAGGCAGACAAGACATGAAAAACACCACAAAGCGTCCCCAGTTCAACATCCATCCTACGAAGCCCATCTGTAAACATAGCCACCAACTTAAGATTGAAGTTGCAGGTAAGGCAAAAAGCAGGCAATTGAGAGCTCTAGCGACACGTGACAGGCCACCCTCGTTGGTTCCGAGAATGTAGGGGAAGTAGGGCGCCATCGCAGGAGATCTTTATGTTTGGGCAAAACATACGCAGAACCAAAACAGCCTTTAGGGTCCCATTTCCCCAGGCGTTCAAGCTTGTAGAGCCCAAACACATCCTTCATTCGTCCAAGAATCTCCTCCTGAGATCTCTCAATAGAACGAAAGGAAGGACTAAAATCAAAGGCAAGACATAGAAAATGTCGATACAGCTCTGGACAGATAACCAGAGTATCGGCAAAATTTCGATCGATTGGTACACAAACAAACTGTCTTGACCTCTCAATCCATAACCTCATAAGAGAGTTGAACATAGGATTCTTAAGACCCCCTGTCACCCAACACCACTGCAGTAGAAGAGGGTCGACCACATAAGACGACCGAAGTGCCTTGCATACTGCCACCAATATCTTTCCAAGTTCATTAACCCCATTCACACAGTCAAACAGGGGAATATTACGTGAATTCAGGAGAAGATCGGGAAGGGCAGGTATGTCCTCGATCCAAGTTATGACGTGCAGCCCATACCTTTTTCAAGTTACCTCCCTTTCACATGGACAGCCCGAAGGAAATTTTTCCCGCACGAGACGATTCTGTGTCCAGATAAGATCACCCACTTTACGGTTCTTTTTCCAAACGAAACGCACCCGTCGTTTCATCAGCTCACAGACCGAAAAGGGAAAAGCAGAATCATTAATGATTTGAACCACCAGGGATAGAACGGATCTAGACTGCAGCCTATGATCGTACACCGCTCGCACCACCACCTTCCTACGAATATCAAAACCTATCCTTCTCTTGATCGCAAGAGCCAAAATTGCTTTCTAGGTCACCCGAGTGTCTTTTCAAGAGAAGGATCGAGCAGCCTTAAACCAACGTACTAAGTTGTCGATAGATTTCAAACCTAAACCTCTACGTCTCCAGGGTTGCTGGAGCAAAAGGCGCAATTCGCCCTTATGTATAGTTCGACCACTGGGTGTAATCAACAAAGGCCCCAACATGAAGTCCCCTCCAGATTCAAAGTACTTAAAGGAATTCCGTATGCAAGACCGACGTCCCATCGAGGAAACAGGAAGCAAACCAAAAATCCATCTCACGAGTGACCATCTATCGGCCCAGTTTTTACCAGGCGAGACGAAGATACGCACGTAACAATCACCTGCGACATACGCTGCCCCCAACAGACTTACTCGACTATCCGACCAGAGACCGCCATCAAGGCGGAACTTAGCGAAGCTAGGAATAGTCAGATCAGACGGAGGATGCGTATCCAAAGTCGGACTACGTTTCTCCGATAATCTTCGAGTCCTCGCAGCTACCCTCCTCCCACGCCTAGAGTTTAGAGAAGGATCGACATACCGAATAACCGCCCATTCGACCACATCGACCGAAGATAAGTCGTTAACCAAGGGCAAAGCCACGTACTTCCAGACGCCAAAGCGCCTCAACCACTTATACAGCCGTGGACACACACCTTTACCACCAGAAAAGAAAGTCTGAACATGCTCACCCACCTAACATACAGACCATGAGTAGTGTCACGGACACTGTCACCCACGTACTGCGCACGCGGCACGACACCAGGGGGAGGTAAGGAGATGCGCAACCGGTTCCTTATTCCAGGCTACCCAGTCGAGAGAAGAAAGCAATCCCTCAAATTTTTTACACCAGATGATTTCTCCAATCAAGGACAAGGCAAAAAAGCATAGTGTACAACATTTATCGTACAACAATCGAATCCTAGAGGGTAAATCAGAGACAAAAGCAACAGTCCGCTTATGCATGACTTGAAGCAAATTCCGCAAGAGGTGAAATTTGGAAAAACGTGTTAGTCATGCGGGATTCGATTCAGCATTTTCCGGTGAGTGTGGTGGGGAAGCCGTAGCTGCCTGGGCCGGTACTAGGACGAAACCTTCGTAAGCAAGCCGAGTCCGGGCAGCAATGATCTGGTCAATTGACGGCCCCGTAGTGCAATAGTGGAGACGTTCGTCCGCGCAGATCTTCTTCAACTGATCATGCCGGAGTCCTTCCAAAGCCCGCCGCTGCTCGATGATATAGTGAAGGATGCCATCAGGTCCCCCGCCATCTGAAACCTTCCTCCTCCTATCTTCCGCCTGCCTGGAACACTCAGCGCGAGTGTGGGCATCATCAACCGTTGAGCTATCGGTGTCGAATGTAGGCTGTCGAAAACCGGCCCCATCAGCTACCGATGTCTTCCCCCGCGGACGCTTCTCACGCAGAGTATATAACCTCCGAATTTCTTCGTTGATATCATCCACCTCACCGAGCTCATCATCACGTGCCTCCCTTCTTCGAGATGACGGCGGCGTACTCATCATTCGCGCTTCCTCTCGTCTGGCATCATCACGATTAGCGATTAATTGTCGTCCCAGCAAGGCCGGCAGTTCGGCCTTTGTAGCCTCAGCATCGCGCGCAGTCTCGGCCTTAAGTTGCTCCTGGATCCGCTCTTGATCCTTCATCTCCTTCTTAAGAGTCTCCTATTGCTTCATTTCCAGAAGAAGAGTGCGAAGGAATTCCTTCTCTTCAAACTCCTCCGGGTTTCGACGAGGACTCCAGAAACGGGGTGTGGTAGGAGTAGGGGTAGAGGGCCCTCCAGTACTAGGACCAGGATTACTACGACTAGTAGGACACTCACGGGTGAAAACCATTCCCTGCCATTGTCCCAACGAAGTTAGTCGAAGAAGATCTCGTAATCGCGTTCAACCAGAATTCCCTAGCTCTCGGTCAGATCGTCGTTGGTAATTACTACACAAAAGAGGAGGTCCTCAAAAGGAAAGCGCACCGTAAGAGGATGCGTACCATACTAAAACCAACATATACACAAAAACACAGAGAAGGATCGTCAGATCTCAATACGAAGAAGAAGGAGGCGAGCATCAAGAAGGAACAGACGAAGTCGAGGCACAACAAGTTGAGCAGTATAGAACCCAAGGGAGAAGAGGGGACCACCACATCTACACTCTAAAAATTGACAACTCATCATGAAAGCGTAGGCGTGGCCACCAACGAATGTGTAACTGCATCCACGGATACCACGTAAAGCAGAGAAGAGAAACTGTCGGCAAACAGACTCATGCATGAGCCAGAATAGAAAAATACTCCAATATCATATAATCCTGGGCGCACACAAAAAATTTTCGAACTGAACACAAAATAAGAGAGCATTAAAGCCAGAAAAATACACGCTTTAAATTCCAAACACAATGGAGCCAAGAGTCCATCCACCATATCAATCCTCAATCCAATGCGGCCATCCCTCAACTCATTTCTACTACCCCGCTTGTAGCGTCATCAGGAGGAATCCAAACCAAGCGAACAAAGTTCGACCAAGGAGGCCAATACCATAGCCTTTCCTCCTTAAATATTCCATCCTACCCCAGTAAGAAATCGCGTCATCCGCAGATTAGATACGAAGCCCAGAGCAAACTCGTGGGAGCACCGACTCGGAGAGATCTCCATCAAGACAAGACCAACACGTCTCATCGATCGGGTGCCGCAGACACAATTAACAGAAGGGATAGCTGTAACAGAGGATGACGACGACGAACTAAGACCGCATTAGCGTTTAAATTCCTGCACAGACAGCACAACACACGAAAAAGCGCACACACAAAGGACGGGCAATCATAGAAAAAATTGAGCGTCCTCCAGCACGTCACAACTCATAAACGCAAGGGAAGTCCCCGCCATTAGAGCAACCAGAGCACATAGATCCCTGCGCAAGAAAAGCAGTCCTTGGCAATCAATCGAAGAAGACCTTAAACTGGTCAAGCACAGAGAGTCGGAGGCTCAATCGAAACCACCAGGGTGTGGCGGGCGAGAAGCAGGCGCAAGGTGATGAAGAAAGCCGCTCAGCACAATATATGTCCTTCAAACTGAGGCCGCACAAATGGCCAAAGATACCTCCGCCAGGCATCAAGGCAGCGCGTCAGTGGACAGGAGCACTGCTGAAGAGGACACGAGCATCGTCAATCAGCTAGATATGGGAGGAGTCGAGCCGTATAAGTTCTGAAAACCGTCGGCTCATCAGAATACCAGAGGTTAGGAAGGACCAGAAGGTGGGCAGGAAAGTAGGCGCCGCTAAAATTCAAAAGGATTAAGGTACTTTAATAGGTGGGTGTGGTCACATACGCTATAAGCCAGTTCCTTCGAAGACGGTTTCGGGTGTACCGTGTCCAAAAAATGCCCTGATCAACCCCAACAACAGGGCCACAGAGCCGACGTAGGGTAAGGCGGCCAATCCGCCAGTCCAAATGCAAGGCCAAAAGCCAAGACAACAAACCCGTTAATCGAAAAACAAGGCCAAAGAGTCTAGGTGAGGCAGGACGCCCAAACCACCCATCGGAAAGGCAGGGCCATGGAGCCCAGGTGAGGCAAAACGACCGAAGGAAACAATCAACGAAATGGAAAAAAAAAAAAAAAGGTATTTTTTGGTTGGCA